CCTGAGTAACAGAACAGAATACAGCACATTCTGTTACTGTGGAGGTCGGCTAATAGAGCTGATGCAGAAGTTGCCCAAGGATCCAGGCAGAAGAAGGCTTTGCACATGGGATATCGGGGTTTGAGAGTGACCTCTCTGCTGAGTGGTTAGAGGGGTCAGTAGCATTACAAGGGTGAGATTTAGTGTTATATGGAGAAAGATTTGATTCATGAGTCAGATGGGAAAGTGGCTCTCTTCAGCCAAGGTGGACAGGGTGTGATGGTCAAAGAGGGGAAGAAGAGGGAGGAGTGGCATGGGGTATCCAGCTATGAAGAAGCTGTGAGGAACCTGAAGTCACTCTTCTTATACTGACCTGTATTTCTGCCTTAGAAACAAAAGTCCTCCCTTGCTTGCTCAGCTTTGGTAGAGAAGGCTGGAGAAGACTGTGAGTACTATTGCAGTCGTCTCCTCTGAAATCTCTGTCTGCAGGAAACTGACTCCTGCCAAGTGCAAACTAAGTTACTACTTGGAGATTTACCACCGCTTTCTCTAAATTAACTGGAGTAGGAGTGGTGAAATTAGTAATGCAGCTAGGAAGGTCCCAATAAGAGTAAACTGTCAGCTGCTCTGTGCCATGTACCCTCAAGAGCTGGCTCATCCAAGTCATAGCTGAAGCACTCTCTCTGGGTGCAGCCTGGGAGAAGTTGTCACTTCCTGTTCCCCATTCTGTAGTTACCCTGTGAATAAACAGGGAACTTCCATGCCTAAAGCTATAGATGAGGGAACTTTCACCAGTACTTCATTCCCTAGAGAATAATAATGTCAAGAACTATCCCAGGAGTATTTCAAGCGACATTTCCATACAGAAAGGGATATTTGCAATGTAGAATAAATTTGCCAAAGCAGTAAATTGTTTACATCAATGCTGTGAAGACCCAGAAACATTTTTAGAAAGGGGGAAAACAAAACCTTATTTTCAAATACCTACTTAGTGCCTACAAGATGATTACATATGGAAGAATTGATGCATCACTGGCTCTGGAAGGCCAGACTTAATTAATTTATAGACTTTTCCTGGCCATTAATGTTCCTATGTTTCATAATGCCAGGAAGAGGTGTATGCGACTGTCTTGAGCTGATGTCTGCAGGGACAGATCTAAAATTCAATAGGAGACAGATGGAAAGAGTTTGTAAGGTCTCTATGGTGGGGAGACTACCACTCAGGCCCTTGATGAGCCTCAGTATTGGAACATTAAACTGAGTTTGATATTACTATATTTATTGAAAAGCTTTCCTAAGGCATGACTGACATTTTAAGGTAGAGCAATTTCCTGCATCTTAATGGAATAGGAAAGGCACTTTACACTTCAACATGATGCTTTTCCAAGCAATATTGCTGAACACTCCTATAATGAATTCTGATGTCATTTTTTGTCTGTCTTGTAGATGGTGTTAATCACTAGAGTAGCTCCCTTGTGGACTGAATTTCAGCTTTCTTTTTTAATTTGCACTTAAGTCTTCATTGAATAAAAAGGAATTTGATGGCTCAGGGGTTAGTATTAGGATAAAGAGCCTTTCACTGTTAGAACAGAGGTCTGAATTAGGACCAAACTGTAGCCACAAGTCATTACTTTGTGATGACTGATCTCAATGCTGTTTCTTTACATGCTTCAAAATGCTGAGATCAGGAAGGGTGTCAACTTGGGCTAATTGTTGTGCTTTTCAACAAAGACTAACTTTACTTTCTAGCAAAAAATCTCTTATGAAGAATAATTCTGTTAAAGGCAAAACAAATGTAGAAATAAATATAAATATGTGGAAATTTTTTTGTGAGGCTTATTTTTTTGCAGGGGTCTTCAAGCAAGCTTGTTTTTTTTTAGATATTAATTTGTGTTATTGTTTCTCTCTTTCAGCTCTTTGAGAATTTCTACTTTGGGGAACTGCAGTTGAATTCAGTCCATCTTTCTGAGAGGTTCTCCACAGACACCTCTGGCTACTATGCAACATCTGGACAGCTTACCTTTTCCTGAAGCGCAGACTCAGCTGACCGAACCAACCTGCTCTGCACCCAAAACTGCATGACAAGCAGCATGTTGATTAAAACAATTAACATTTGATAGCCTCAAATTTGGACAGAGACCATTTCTTTTACGGACTCAACAAAGATTGAGAGCCTGTGTTATCCTTTCTACCACAGTAACTGATGTTGCACTTCCTTGGCAGAAGTCTCCTGCAGTCCCTCTGCCAGACATCCCATCCCATATCAACTCAGTAACCTGTGATTCCCTTCCCCCTCTATCACACCCTTTTTCAGTCTATTAACATTTTGGTTTCTAAGTAGGGGAAATATGAAAACAAGTATCCTCAGTATGAAGCAGCATCCATAGCTAAAAAAGTTTCAGCTTATTTCCTTTTTCCCCTCAGATACTTAATGTCTTCTTACACATATGAAAACATTTATTTTTCTATAAATGTTGTCGTATTTTTCCATCCATCAAATATTTATTTTTCTCCCTGCCTCAGTTTCCTCCGTTCCCCTTCAACCTTGTTCCTAAGCTATTTTGTTTACTTCTCTATAGGCTTACTTTAAAGCCTGATTAAGGAAGTAGCAAGCCTCCCAATGAAATCACTGGGCTTTGGGTGAGGCTTTCTGTTTGGATGGTAACATCACTATGCAACTGCTAGAGCTTGGTCTGGGGATCTCTTCTGGATTTTATCACTGGTAATAAAAACAGGAATGTTGCATGTGTCTGTTACCATTTGTCAGTAAACTACTTGTCATGGATGAGCAGAAGAGGTGCATATATATCTTGGGATCAGCCACCCAGAAATACAGACTCAGGCCTTTTCATAGGAGTTGGCTACCCAACAACCAACACTGTTTATGCCGTGGAAAGAGATGATATACTCCTGAAAGCTTCTTGATGTGTTTCACTTTAACAATTGGCACCCAGATGCAATCTATGCATTGGATAATACTAAATATTAAAGCTCCAAGGGGACACAGAAAACTATTTTTATTCTCTTTGTGTGCAATTCCCCTAGAAGCTTAGCAATAAAATTTCCTTTCTGACTACTTTTGTCCCGTATTACCCACTATTGATTTTTTTTTTCTCATTGAAGTTGACTCTTTTTCATGTTTTGGGCTAGATTCTGCCACTGACAGCAGTGCAGAATGTAATTTCCTACTCTGAGTAATCCTACTGAAACTGATATGGCTACTTGCATAGCAAGGCATTATTTTCTGGGAATAAAAGTGGCAGAACACAGCCTTTGAGTACTAATACCATATCAAATGGCTATTTTTTAAATTAATGGTAGCAAAAATCGTAGATGTTTAAATGTTTTTAACAAGACACTCACAAAGCTGGGGGCTGGGGGGGGAGGTAGAATATCAGGAAGGCATCTAGTCTAATATCTCTGGCAAACCATCTCAGACAAGATTTACCAAATCATAACCATTTATGGTTGTGTGTTAATCTTTGGCTACTTAATCATACCAGTCTGTAGGCACTAGATAAATTTGTTGCATGTTGTTTCAGTCTCCTGGTAATAGGAAGGGCTTGCTCCTGCTGTCATTACTTCCTACAAATCATTACACGTGCTTACATTTACATCTGTGCCTTAACAGTGCTATGCTTGAATGTAAATGTTTGAGAAATACTGTCTTTCTTTGCAAATAAGCCTATGTCAATAAGGGCACAGTTCAATAAAATAGTTTGGCACACTTGAGTTCCGTGGTGTTATCTGCAAACACTGTTGCTTCTCCCTAACATGGGACAGTGGGAATACACAGATGCAATAAAGCAGGGGTGTCAAACTCATCTTGCCTTGCAGACTGGATGAGGGTCACTGGGCCACTGTGTGAGCCAGACGGAGACCAACACCCTGTGCAGTGCCAGGAGGCGCCAGGTCCAGCCTGCATGCCATATGCAGCATGTGGGGTCAGGACTAGCACATAGTGTCAGTCCAGTGACACACAGGCCAGATCATACAGATCCACAGGCCTGATTAGGCCTGTGGGCTGTATGTTTTGACACCCCTGCAATAAAGCACTGGTATAATTGTTCCTGCCATCAGAACAAATGGGAGCAGAACAGAACTTTTGGCAATGGATTTGGAAGAGTGTTCCTATATAAGTATTTGTAAAATACATATTCATAACTTAATTTTACTTAAATATGAATTATAATTGAATAGCGATTTATGAAAGTGCTGTATGGAAGATACTACAGAGATTAACCAAAGTTGTTATATCCCGGCTTCTGTTATTTTTTGCGAAGCCTCTTTTCAGGCTAAATGTCCACTTAAGCAAGGAGATTGTACTTGCACACAATTAATCTGCGGCTTCTCCCTCCTTAGAAATATTTTTGAAAACTTAAGTGTGGATCCTGTATGTATTGGTTCTGTATCTACATGGAATTCAGTAAAGAGAGCTGCAAGATAAGAATGTGGTGCAGTCGGTCTGCTTAGTGCACAAACTTGCACAATCCTAAAGTGAATACACTTCTGGAGCATGAACCATGACATGTCTTTGAAAGTATTTTTCTTTAATAAAAAATACCAAAATTGGCATCTGAGTTTTCTACTACTGGTCAGTAAAGGCTTGCTTGTTACTGCATGAAAAACAGTGGAGTAACTTATAGGGATGATCAGAGAGGAGGGCCACTCTCAGAAGATGCTTGTGGTGTTTTATTATTTAAAAATACTGGTAACCACAGTATCTGCAGCAAGGCCCTCTCCACTTGCATATAGGGCAGCCTGCCTCAGAGGCCAAAAGCTTGAATGTCTGCCCCCTCCTGCTCTGTGGCTGTACTATTCCTTTGCAGCTATGCACAATGCTGGTGGTCATTGTCTCCCACTTCTTTCACGATTAAAGCAAATGAAGCATTAAATCCCTAGTGCTGTAAATGACTGTACTGCCCCTGCATGTGCACTGAGCTCCAATGGCTGCATTAAGTGAGAAGCAGTTCAGTAGATCATTCTCCTTCCCCTGCTTAGTGGGGCCTGCAGTGCCACATGGACAGTCCCTCTCAGTTGTAGGGCTCCTCCCTGGCCTTGGCTTTTTCTTTTTGGTTTGTCTGAATTTAAGTCTCCCTTCCTGTTGTGGATTGACATTCCAGCAGCAGGGAGGGTGGCAGAAATACACGATGCAAGAGTAGGATGGGAAAGAAACCAAGGTGTCAGACCAAGCCCTGTAGAATCCCTGCCCCCCCTCCACAGGGCTCCTGGGTGTCAGTGGGAGGGGGAACAACAGGAATGGCAATGGGGAGGGGAGGCAAAGAAAGTCAATAGGACTTAGGAGAAAAGGGGCCCTGACTTTCCCCCATGCATTCACACCTGATTATATTTTAATTGGACCTTGTCCCAATTACCTGGGGAATAGGGTTCCTTCTTTTTTCCTTCCAATTAGCAGAAAGAGGTGAAAGGCACCAGGGCCTGTATGGGTTAGCACTGAGAGCTGGAACCCAGTATCAATAAGCTCCACTGTTGCACTGGGTTAAGAGAGCTCCAGCACCTTGTATATAAACAAATGTGCAAATGGTGCTGTTGTGACAAGAAACTAGCACTCCCCGGAGGCCTGGATGCTGCTTCAGAAACTAAGGTCTTTGAGTTCCTCAGCCTACCATTTCCCATTATTTATGGATAGCAGCTTCCCAGCCCCTTCAGTCTGTGTACGTGGATTTAATTGCAGTATCGCTTCTCCGATTCCTTTCCCAGCCTGCAGCCTACTTCAAAATGCAGAAATAATATCTATTGTCTCCATCTCTGACTATAGATATGCAAATGTATTTTTAGTTCTGTTTCAGTTTGCATTCAGGGGAGTTAGGAGAATGCTAATCTGTTTTTCCTCTTCTTCAGATTGGCATCAGCATTATGAATTTCTGGGACTGAAAGGCAGGCTTTTGTGTGAAAATTGAATCTCCTTCTATGTGATCAACATGTTTTGTGTCTCCAGATTTTTTTTGGCTCCTCTTTGCTTTCCTACTGATGTAAACATCATCTATTATTCCTCTCTCATCGAGGGAAAAAATTTAAATTCCCATCAGCACTTGGGAAAGTGTTAACCCTTGAGAAGGAAGATGTCTCGAAAATCACATTTGCGGAGGTGGAAAATACTGCCGTTAGAAGTTACAATTTTCCGGTACTAAGGCTGGCAGAGGTTAGCAAAAACGAATAGGCTCTCTTTTCTGTGTGATCCCATTGGGCTTTAAGCAGCAGTTTGCATTTGCCAGCCCCAGATAGGCAAGGTGCTCTGTCTATATGGACCCCTGTAAAGTTGTGCAGCCATGTGCTGGGCCAGAGCTGATGACAGGGCCTGGTTTAGGCTCCCATTGCGCTGAACTAGGCTGTGCTCTTTAATCCCCGAAGTTGTGGGGGGAGGGAGGTTATCAGAAGGTAATTAAAGTTTTAAGAGGGGAACAGCTTTGGAAATAAGAGCAAACACCATCTCTTCCCCAGAGCTTCACCTCATGGCAAGTCAGTTGCAGCTGGAGGGAGCAGACAAAGCTTCAAGAGTTGCCTTTTCTAGCCCTAAATACAGCATCTTTACAGAGCAAGTGGCGAGTCCTGACCCTGGGCGCGGTCTGTCCTACGCAGACCGGGGCTGGTTGGAGGCCCTGCACTCTTCTTCTCGCGGGGGGCGGGCTGCAAACGAAGGCACCTGCCTGTGTGCGACCGGGGCTACTAGCTGAGGGCGGCAGCGGCCAGGCTAAGCGGGGCTCGAGCTGCCTTCATCGTGCTGCCTCACCCGCGGGAGGCGTCCAGAGGAGCGGGGGCTGAGCGGGGCCCCGGGCGCTTGCCGCCGCCGAGCGAGGCTGTCCGTCCCGCCGGGGGCTTGGGGCGGCGAGGGAGGGGGAGGCTCCTGCTCGCAGGTGCGATGATGTCAAGGCGGGCCCCGCCCCCCCGGCCGGGCCCCCCCTCCGCGCCGGC